CGCCGGCATCGTAGTCGGCATCGTCAGTGAATATCGCCATCCTAAGCACCACACAGCTACTCGTCAAAGACTTCCAATGATATTTTTACGGTGTATAATTTGATATGAAAACTTTGGTGTCGTGGCCACTATACAAGCCTTTGACTTCCATCTTGTTAATTTAATTTACCCTCCTTTAGTGGCTTACAATGTTTAAATCATTTTATCTCGCGATGCGCGATAATATTTAGCCTATTTTTTCTCATTTTTAGGTGGAACATGATTGGAAGATGGTATACTTGGCCAGAGAAGAGTCCTCTTCTGCAGATTCAGTTGGAGAAGTCCAATGGGCTCTGGATCTAAGTAATACTGGGTATGAAGTTGCTAAAGTAAGTGCACGAATGCATATTCTAGGCTTGAAAATATTGGTGGCATCGCCTTTTGACTTTGTGTATCTCTGGTTAATCTTCGCCTATTACATGACAGACAATTTAACTGCGAAGAGCCATTATTTAACTTAATTTACTTAAGAGTTAAGATTGCCTACGGTGGTTGTGTTGTAATCTAAATAGGTATGATATTATTGAATACTGTTTTTGCTGCATACTCTTAGCTCCTTTGCGAATTAGATCTAGTAAGAATATATATGAGTAGTTCCATATTTATCTTTACGCTCATGCAAAGACCATATCATTTTCAGTTTAATGTTTATTTTGCCCTTGAGATTGATTTTAACGCTTCATACTCATTCTTTATTTTTTGTAAATATTTATCCATATGAATACTTTTTGTGGTCTAACCCAGACAATATCGTTTTTCTGCCACCTAGCAGTTGTCGTTCGCCGTTCATCCTCTCTAATAGTCACAGATGATTTCTGGTAATTTCTTCAATCCATTTACTCTATTCAGGTTCATACCGATTTCGCTGGCTTCTCTGGGTTTGATTTTACATATGAGCTCTATGAATTTATGTACTCGCAACTATACACCTGGACAAAGCTTTATGGGCTCCCATCTTAGGTGATCATATTCCACTGGGAATTAATTTTGAATTTTTGTTTACGTAACCTACATAAACAGTAAATATTAAAAATTAGCCACGAAATCATCAGATGTTTCTTTGTTATTACATTTCAGCTTTTTAGTTTGAAAAAATCAGAGCTGGCCACCTTTTCTGGTGGAGAGTTTTGCAGGTTAGTCCAACTAGAAAAGGACGGCAGACTCCTCTTGGCCAGCAATGATTTGACTTTACTAGAACATTCTTGTTGACGCTATCCTTAAGGCT